CAAGAACACGAATAATCTTCAGGAAATTACATTGGTTAGTATGCACTCTTGATTCAACAGACCCGAAGTAATGAACAAATTATGAAATAAGAAAAGCAATAAACTCCTAGAAAAATCTATAAAACCCTTAATTCTTAAAAGGGAACACAGCCCCAAATTATGTGAGCTTTGCTGGTTTATTCCTGGATCCTTTACTGCTCCTTCTCTCACTCCTTTACTGTATCCACTTTCTTTCTCTGCCCCTAAATATGGCTATTCCTCATGGCTGGTTGCTATTTTTCTCATAAAGCAAGTGGGTTACTTTAAAAAAAAATTTTTTTTTTTAAGATTTTATTTATTTACTCGACAGAGAGATCACAAGTAGGCAGAGAGGCAGGCAGCAGCAGGCGGGGGAGGGGGGAGGTGGCAGGCTCCGGGCTGAGCAGAGACCGCCACCCTCCCCCATGTGGGGCTTGATCCCAAGACCCTGGGATCATGACCTGAGCTGAAGGCAAAGGCTTTAACCCACTGAGCCACCCAGGCTCCCCTAAAAAAATTTTTTTTAAGATTTATTTATTTTAGAGAGAAAGCATGTGCACAGGGGATGGGGGAGGGACAGAGGGAGAAGGAGAGAGAGCATCTCAAGTAGGCTCCTGCTGAGTATAGAGCCCACCATGGGGCTTGTTCCTATGACCCTGAGATCATGACTTGAGCCATAATCAAGAGTCAGATGCTCGGGGTGCCTGGGTGGCTCAATAGTTGGGCGTCTGCCTTCAGCTCAGGTCATGATCCCAGGTCTCCGGGATCATGCCCCACATTGGGCTCCCTGCTCCATGGGAAGCCTGCTTCTCCCTCTCCCACTCCCCCTGCTTGTGTTCCCTCTGTCACTGTCTCTCTCTCTCTGTCAGATCAATAAATAAAATCTTTAAAAAAAAAGAGTCAGATGCTCAACCAACTGAGCCACCCAGGCATGCCGCAGGTGGGTTATATTTGTCTATTTTTACTGGTGGGGGGTTCTCAAAACAAATAAATTGTCTGAACTCGAATACCCAAGAAAGCAGTTGAAAAGCACATGGTATATATTACTGTCAGAATAGAAGCTGTACACCTGGGCTCAGGGTGTAGACTCTTTATTACTAGAAAGGCTCCCCACCAAAAAAGTGTGGGCTCTGACCTAATCACAGTACCAACTATCCATCATTACTGTTCATGGGTTTCCTTCTTTCCTTTTTTTTTGACCATGAAATGGTATATAATTCAAGTTATTTGAGAATATATATCCAAATGCTCTCTGTACCCAACTGGATCACAGTATAAAGAAACTGAGGGGGGCACCTGGGTGGCTCAGTGGGTTAAAGCCTCTGCCTTTGGCTCAGGTCATGATCCCAGGGTCCTGGGATCGAGCTCTGCATTGGGCTCTCTGCTCAGCAGGGAGCCTGTTCCCCCCCCCCCCCCCCCCCTATTTTGATCTCTCTTCCTCTCTCTCTCTCTGTAAAAAAAAAAAAAAAAATTTAAAAAAAAAAAAAAAAAGAAAGAAACTGAGGGCACTAAATCCAGAGGAAAGTCAATGACGTCTGAGTTGCAAACAATGTTGAAAATCAGAAAGAAAAATATTAAAAATAATTTTTTAAAATTAGCAATAACCTACGTTTTAAAACCCCAGATTATATCAACAGAAATGATCAGAAAAGGCGAATGAGTGGGGAGAAAGTTCTAAGTCTCCAATTAACAGGTTGATAATTAGATAACTACAGCTCCAATAACCTTTTTCTCTCTCTTTTTTTTTAAAGATTTTATTTATTTATTTGACAGAGAGAGATCACAAGTAGACAGAGAGGCAGGCAGAGAGAGAGAGAGAGAGAGAGAGGGAAGCAGGCTCCCTGCTGAGCAGAGAGCCCGATACGGGACTCGATCCCAGGACCCTGAGATCATGACCTGAGCTGAAGGCAGCGGCTTAACCCACTGAGCCACCCAGGCGCCCTCCAATTACCTTTTTAATGCAAAAGTGTCCTTAAGACACTACCACAGGGGGAAGCCACGTAAAGAAGGCTTTATGGGAATTTTCTGTATGATTTTTGCAACTTTTTTGTAGATTTGAATTATTTGAAAATGGAAAGTTTAACATTTTTCAGTGTAGTTTTAGGACGTAGCCATTGGCAATATTAAAAATTGGATTAATATTTTTCAAAATACAAGTGAAAGCAAAGCAAAGACAGTCGTAAAGGAAAATACGGAGCACAAACAAAGCCCCGGAGAATTATATACGTAATTCTAATACTTGTCACAGCAACCGCTCTTCATCCGTTTTGTAGATGTCCAAAGGTGAGGCAAACTTCCCTTTCAAGAGCTAGCCTGATTTGTAACTGATCATTTCCTGATCTTTTAGCAGATTTGCTCCAACGGTGGCTTACTACAGTGGCAGTAGGTGGCAGCTGGTTACCATGGTGACCAGTAATCTACAGGAGACTGCAGTCTATTTGTCAATTCTGTTCAACCACTTTCACAGCAGACTTAATTTAATCTTCTGGACCATCTTGTGGAGTTGTTTTTACCCCAGCTGACAAATGAAATTAAGGCTCAAAGAGGCTTTTGTGGGGGGTGTTTGTTTAAGAAAAAAACAGCCCCTACTAAATACTCGTAAGCAGGAGAGGTCACTTGGAGCCCAGGACGAGATTCCGATACTCGGGCTTGCCTCATTCTGAGAGAGCTCCAGGTTGAGCACCGTCAGCTTGAAACAACCTACTGATCTCTCATTAATATGCCCCCAAGAAAACCACTGGTGTCCTTGAACACTGAGACTTCCCTTTTGCTGAAAGAAGAACACTCTGCTCGCGACCCTCTGGGAACCATCTAAAGGGTTCCACAAAGGAAAAAAGAGGCATGGGGCGCCTGGGTGGCTCAGTGGGTTAAGCCTCTGCCTTCGGCTCAGGTCATGATCTCAGGGTCCTGGGATCGAGCCCCGCATCGGGCTCTCTGCTCAGCGGGGAGCCTGCTTCCCTCTCTCTCTCTCTCTCTCTCTCTGCCTGCTACTTGCCTGCTTGTGATCTCTGTCTGTCAAATAAATAAATAAAATCTTAAAAGAGGCATATTATGTACAGTGCATTGACCCTGCTCTCTGAACCCTCAGTGAGACAGACAGAGACGATACACAGTAGGTGTGTGAGTGCCGTTCCCAGCATCTGCAGATGTGGATACACACATCTTACAAAGACAACCTGGTTTACGATTCTAGGCTAAACATGTAAACAAGAACTTCAAAGCCCAGAGGGGACAGCCATCACCACTTTAACAAAAGATGTACCCGGAAGGTCAAGCTTCAACTCCCTACAACTTCCTCCCCTGCATCAGCCCAAACTCACCTGTATTTGCACCTGTCCTCACCCGCCTTCCTCTCTTCTTGGAAGGACAGCTTTCCCTTCCCTCCAAGGCTCTTGTCCTCTGTCCACTCTACAGCCTCTTCTCTACCAGCGATTTCCCTAACAGCTACTCTCTTTGATCACTGGCCACTGATTCTTTGCCTTCAATTTACTTTTTAATTAACTATCTATTTCTCCTACCTTCCCCACTGGCCACTGATTCTTTACCTTCAATTTATTTATTTATTTATTTATTTATTTATTTTTAAAGATTTTATTTATTTATCTGACAGAGAGAGAGATCACAAGTAGGCAGAGAGGCAGGCAGAGAGGAGGAAGCAGGCTCCCCGCTGAGCAGAGAGCCCGATGTGGGACTCGATCCCAGGACCCTGAGATCATGACCCGAGCCAAAGGCAGCGGCTTAACCCACTGAGCCACCCAGGCGCCCCTACCTTCAATTTATTTTTTAAATAACTGTTTCTCCTACCTTTCCCTCAAACCTCTCTCTTGAGTTACTTACCTCCAATATTGTTGAAAGTGTCATCTTCACTAAGAGTAAGCGTTCTAGACATGACTTTACCCTCCACTACTGTTAAATTCCAATCTCATTTTGACCAGTATCAGTGTGCTAAAACCACCTATCTCACCCTCCTCCACTGTTCCCAAAATATACCTGCTCCCAAGAATTTGATGTGAACCCTTCCGGCCCATTTTTAAAATACTTTTGTGATACATAGAGGTAATCATGGAAGTACTGAGGGTTTGATTTTTTTTGAGGGTTTGATTTTACACATTTGGTATCATCACACTGTACATATTATTCTGCAACTTGACTTTTTTATTTTAATGCAACATTATGTTTTTGAGCTCTCTCCATGCTGATCTATGTCATGCCTTTTACATACTGCTCACTCACTCTTCTCCTGATGGATAGTTAGAATGGTTCCAATTTTCTGCTACTGAAAACAGTGCCCATGATGAACATCCTCCTTGCACAGACAGACCTTTGCGAGGCGCACACAACCAAAAGTGGGATGAACAACTACATCGCATGGCACACAAGCTTGCAATTTTAGTAGATACTTCCAGACTGTTCCTCATAATGACTGTCCCAAATTCACTCGCATCAGTTGTGCAGGACCATTCTTGTTCTCATATAACCTTGCCAGCACCTGATAATGTCAGACTTTTATATTTTTGCTGACGTGGCTGGAGTAAAATAGAGTTCCATCTGATTACTACTGAGGTTCAATAACTTTTCATGTAATATTCAATTCCTTCTTTGAGGTACCTTGTCATCTGTCTTTTGCTTGTTTTCCTATGGGATTTACTTTTTTTAATAGTAGCTTTTCTTTATATATTCTGCATTCTAATCCTTTGCATATTGCAATTACACGTTTCTATGCATATAATTATCTTCTCTCAAACTTTATGATGTTAGGCATCAGTATGTTACAAAAGCAATGCACATTATTCTGATGTGAAAACGGGCTTGATTGAGAACTTTGCTTCTAAAAATACTTCAGAAAACCATTCTCAGTAGCAATGAGATAATATCTCAGAATAAAAAATGGACAGAGGTATCATGCTGCAATTTCAACTGGCCTTATGGCATATGAGCAAGAAGTCACAAATACATTAAGAGGTTAAAAAAAAAAATCTCACTGTGGATTCATGTTACATTTCTTTAGTTTCTCTTCCAGTTCAGGTAAATCTCGGAGATCTGCTCCAATAACAGCATATCTCTTTGAATCCAACAGGTGTCCATCTGCAAATCCAAGAAGAGATGATCATTTCAACAAAAATTCATCAAGAAATTATAATTTCAATGGATATGATTTTTTCAAAATTAAATTTATTGTTTTTCTCCATTATAAAAATACATGCTCCATTGTGGGGGGGAAAATCAGGAATGAAGAGGGTAGAAATGAACTAAAACCACATCTTCCAGAGATAACTATTAGTATTTTTGTGTAGAACATCCTGGTCCTTTTTCCTATGTGCCTAAACTCATATATACAACATAAACACATTCTCATACAAACATACATACACACCTCACACAGAAAAAAAACAAACAGGGCCAATTCTTCTTTTGAAAACGCTTTCCTTATTTAATGGTAATATCAATGACATCATTCTCTGTAATGATTTCCTAGCATTCCAGAGTGGATAAAACAACTTACTCAACCAATCTCTCACTATCAGACATATGGTATTTCCAAGTTTTCTCCGTCTGAGGCACTGCAGTGAACATCTTTATATAGACAATATGAAGCAACTGTCAAGTAGGTCTCTATGAGTAGAATTAGGAGGTCAAAGGATAAGCCTATGTAAACAATGGTACCAATTGGCTGGCTGCTTCTAAACGTTGTGCCAATCTGTGAGATATTGTGATTAAAGGAATAGTGTTTCCATACCGAAGTAAAATAAAATGATAACATTTGCTTAAAAATACTCCAGCAGAGATTGCATGAAATGATCTATATAGTGGTTCTCAAGCTTTGGCAGCCATCAGTATCACCCAGAGGGCTTGTTAAAACAGACTGACGGGCTCTAGCCCCCTGAGTTTCTGATTCAGCAGTCCATTCAAAAGTAGAAATTTGGGGCGCCTGGGTGGCTCAGTGGGTTAAGCCGCTGCCTTCGGCTCAGGTCATGATCTCAGGGTCCTGGGATCGAGTCCCACATCGGGCTCTCTGCTCAGCAGGGAGCCTGCTTCCCTCTCTCTCTCTCTCTCTGCCTGCCTCTCTGCCTACTTGTGATCTCTCTCTGTCAAATAAATAAATAAAATCTTAAAAAAAAAAAACAAAAAAAACAAAAGTAGAAATTTTTTCAAATTCTTTCAAAAGTTAGAAACCTGTATCTCGGGGCGCCTGGGTGGCTCAGTGGGTTAAAGCCTCTGCCTTCAGCTTGGGTTGTGATCCCGGGGTCTTGGGATCGAGCCCTGCATCAGACTCCCTGCTCGGCAGGGAGCCTGCTTCCTCCTCTCTCTCTGCCTACTTGTGATCTCTGTCTGTCAAATAAATAAACAAAATCTTAAAAAAAAAAAAAAGAAAAGAAACCTGTATCTCTGACAAGTGCTCAGGCAGTGTTGATGCCTCTAGTTTAGGACTACACTTTTAGAACCACTGGTACAGGAAGTTGGTCATAATTAAAGTTAGGTGTTACATACATAGAGATTCACAGGTTTATTTTTATGTACACCTAAAAACATCATCAATTAAAAGTTTTAAAATGGATTGTAATTAAAAAAAAAAAAAGAAAGAAAACTGCTTGGTGGTATACGCGAAGCACTGCTTGCTCAGCTCCCTCAAGGGTATAAACCATGGAAGGAACTGGAATATCCAACAGCCATCCTATATTGTTGCCAATAGCTCAGGTTCTCTCGGCTCTGAGCAGTCGCAGTAGAAAAAGGGAAAGAGGCTAAACCACAGTGTGTCTGAACACCCTCATGATGCTGATAACCCCATTTAGCTGACTCAAATACACTGAGCTACACACCACGAGCTAAAAGACATACCTCCTAAGAGCCTGCTAGGTATCAGGGAAGCAGGGAAACCCAAAGTCAGAGCTCCAGGTGCCACAATCCCCAAGTGAGAAAAGGAATATAAAGACTATTAAGGCACATCTGCCCTATTATGAGATCAAATAATGATTCCCAAACACCTGTGCACCTTCTTGCAAATAATGTACATGTTGCTAAAAAGTGTGCATGGAGTGAGTTATTCCCTCTCTCATTCGAAAAAAGAAAAAGAGTTGAGATGTACTACAAAAATACCAACACATTCATTCGTTTGGCCATTCAGGTGTGTATTTATTCAATCAACAATCTCTGCATGCCAGGCACTGTTCTAGGTGCTGGGGACACAGTGATGAACAGGAGACAGACAGGTCACTACTTCTCATGAGGCTTACCTGCCCCAGAGAAGGGAGAGAGACAATGAATCATTAAAGAAGGGAAGAATTAAGAGAATATCAAGAGTATTAAGTGCTATGAAGCAAATAAAAGGTGATGAAAAAAAAAAAGAGTAGGAGGGACAGGGTTCAGTCTTTCACCTGGTGGTCATGGAGAGCTTCTCAGAGGGGGCAGCAGCTAAGCTAAGACAGAGGTGATCAAAAGGAGATTGGCAAGCAAAATTAGGGGAAAAGAGTTCCAGGCCATGGTAGAAGGAAGCGGAAGATCTGAAGGTGACAGTAAGCGTGGCATGTTCAGGCTGCAGCATGACAGTGTGGCCAGCTCAGAATTACTGTAGTCAAAAGTAAAATCAGGAGGCAGACAGAGACCTGCTTAACCATGTGGATCCCAACCAGCAGGAGGATTTAAGGAGCAGAGTAAGAGAACCTGATTTACTCCCTCTGATTTTTCACTGTGTGCCTATTTATATACTTGGAATTTTCCACTCCACGTGTAATTCAGCTTAACAAAAGTGTCAATTCCAAGATGCATATTTTTCTACTTTAACATTCCCGAAATCAGGATGCATCGAACAGTCAAGCACATGCCAGTTTACCAACACTTTGCCTTTCCTAATCATAAAGAAATACTGGTCAATCTTACAATCAGAGCCTCAGAGGTTAGATGATGCAGGGTAGTAGTTCAATGACATTTGTGCCAGCTTTATGATCACCTATGATTTTTCTCAGGTCTTCACTCAGGTCTTCACACATATTTATATTTCCCTTATTTTATTTTATTTTTTTAAAGATTTTATTTATTTATTTGACAGACAGAGATCACAGTAGGTGGAGAGATAGGCAGAGAGAAAGAGGAGGAAGCAGGCTCCCTGCTGAGCAGAGAGCCCGATGCGGGGCTCGATCCCAGGACTCTGGGATCGTGACCTGAGCCGAAGGCAGAGGCTTTAACCCACTGAGCCACTCAGGCGCCTCTATTTCCCTTATTTTTATTCGAATTCTCCTTTCTCCGTATGGTGGCAAGATCAAAAACCACAAAGCAAAGGGTGAGAAAATGTGTCTACCTGAGACACAAACAAACACACAGTTCAAAAGCAAGCACAAGACTAAGAAAAAAATCTGCCCAAAAAAGGCTGATAAGGGACTTTGATCAAAGAATATATCTTTAGGGCGCCTGGGTGACTCAGTGGGTTAAAGCCTTTGCCTTCGGCTCAGGTCATGATCCCAGGGTCCTGGAACCGAGCCCTGCATCCAGCTCTCTGCTTCAGCACGGAACCTGCTTCCCCCCGCCCCAATCCTCTCTCTGCCTGCCTCTCTGCCCAATTGTGATCTCTGTCTGTCAAATAAGTAAATAAAATCTTAAAAAAAAAAAAAAAAAACAAGGGAGAATATATCCTTATGTTCTAAAGGATTTCCAGAAATTGAAAAGAAAATGAAACTGCAACATTCCCAATGGACATTTACAAAGAAATCCAGCAGGCCAGTACAAGGAAGGAAGGATATTTATTCTCATTAGCACAAAGTTCTTTAAAATTTTTTAAATTAGGGACGCCTGGGTGGCTCAGTTGGTTGGACGACTGCCTTCGGCTCAGGTCATGATCCCGGAGTCCCGGGATCGAGTCCTGCATCGGGCTCCCAGCTCTATGGGGAGTCTGCTTCTCCCTCTGACGTTCTCCTCTCTCATGCTCTCTCTCACTGTCTCTCTCTCTCAAATAAATAAATAAAATCTTTAAAAAAAATTTTTTTTTTAAATTAATAGGTTTGACAGTTTGCCATAATTTTTTAAATGGTAACAGCCAGTGTTAGGGTGTATGGAAAGAGAACCCTCATCTTCTCTCAGTGAAAATACAAATCAGTAAAGAGGGTCTCGAAGAACGGTTTGGCAGTAGCTATTAGAATTCACAAGGGACAATTCCTTGAACATATGCACATGTACGTGTGCTTTCTACATCACTGCTTAAGAGAACACCATAAAACACGTAGCTGTCTAAAGGACCATCGGTACTGAATACATTAAGGAAAATGGAATTTCCACACTGAGGAGAACTAGAAAGCCATCAGAAATGAGGAGGCAGACCTATAGATGATGACACGAAGATAGTCACAGGTCTCTAGGTTGCAGAAAGAGCGAGCTAGCTACAAAGCAGGACATATAAATGATTCACTTTATTAAAAGGACACCTGAATTTACTGATGTTGAGAAATACAGATTCACTCATTCAACAGATATATACTGAACTACAACCTATGTATTTATTCAGTGTGTATATATGGTCTCTCAACAAAAATGTATGGGACCCTCTATGTGCCAGGCACTGGATTATCTTTCTGTGTGTGTTTTCTCATGTGTGATATTTACCCATCTCTAGGTGTGCTGTTTATCCACAGGAGGAAACACCTTGAATCCTGCTTTTCTTGGTGTTGGTGGGGGGAGAGATTATGGAGCATGTTTACTTCCTACTTCATACATTCCTGCACTGATGGATCAAAGCTAATGCAAAGTGGTAGCTCTTTCATTATCAGTAATCATCCTGACCCAAGTAGTCACCCAATATGCAAAGAATTGTGACAGCTACAGTGGAGAAAACAGCTAGGCCAGGAAATGGCAAGGCCTGAAGAGGATCTACTTACAATTTGTAGGAGGGAAACAAGGGATGGGGGAGATGTTCTTTTCTGGAGGAGTTTCTTCACTAGGAGCATGAGTTTGGCACTATGGTTGCGTAGAGGCCTGTCTGGTTGTCTGATGTCTTCTGTCATCTGTGTCCACCAACCACAAAGGCTATCCTCTCTGGGCATGTCTCCTGACAGCAATTATTAAGAAGTCCTTTGAACTACTCCGTCAGACACAGACTAAAAACGATGGAACATTCTGGAAGAGGTTTCCCTGGGTTCAAAAGGCTTAGAGGTGAGCAGAGTGTTGCTGTAAACACTCGTAATTAAAACGTGAGGGCGAAAACCCGAGCAGAAGGGCCAAGGAGGAGACATCATCGGCAGAGCAGGTCAGGTACAGACAGCAGGGAGTGGTGGGGGTGGGACTGAGGGTCTGATGCTGCCGGAATGGATGCTCCCAAGGAAAACTGGAAATGGAGATCTTCGGAAAAAATCTGTATTTGCCTCTTTTGCAAATCACTGAGAAACATTCTGTAAAGATTGAAGAACAGGAACCTATGCACATCTGTTTTAAATTCCTTCACTGTAAATTCGATGCAGTGTAGATGTATCACAGAAGTATACACCTGTGTCATCATGGGCGCACACATGCAGGCTCAGACTCAGACACACACACACACACACACACACACACACACACCCTTTTAAAAGGAAAAGGGGGAAAAAAGCAAAGAGAGTTCTATAGCCCATACTGCAACACGTAGGTGAAGGGTACTTGCCGATTTGAAGCGGGTCCTCTGAATGTAATTCTATGATGGGTTGTAATAAGAATGGCTTGACTCTGTGGGAAGATGGGAAAGACAGAAATGAGGCAAGGAGCTCAGATTCAGCAAAACTGCAAACACCATCTCCAGAAACGGCAAACACATCCTGCTCCTGTTCAAAGCAAGGGCCGCTCACTGCACAGGGCCTTCTGCTCTGTGACATCTGGCCCGGGGCACATGCAGTCACGCTTCGGCAGATCAGGACTCAGGGGATGTCACTATGCAGGACACTCAGAATCGGATGTCCACTCTCAATCTCATCAGGAAATACTGAACACTCAAAAATCACTCGAGAGAGGTCAGCGAGAATTTGCCCGATGTTCCAGTGTTTTCGAAGTTGTCTCTAGTTTCCTGCCTCTTCTCCAACAAAATTTATAACCCAGTGCTTACTGCTCACAGTTATCTGGAAAACGGACTCCTATACAGACCTGAAGTCAGTAACATTTATGTGATGAGTCCTCTCCTCCAGGATATGCCAAAAATCAGACCTGAGAGACCTGAATCCTCTATCACAACAACCACACACAAAGGTCAATGCCTTTTCCAGCCTAGAAGCCACCTCTGGGCTTAAGTGAGAGCCCACGTACTCTTATTTCACGCGGGGTTCAACTAAGCCGGATCCTCCTCTGCAGATACACAGTCTCAGATGCCAGGAGGCAACTAAAAAGCATATTTACTGTAACAGAATCTTGTATTTGGAAAGAGTGAAAACCTTGTTTCATAGGATAAACTAAAACAGTCTCATACTTGAAAAATATTTCCAAATGATGAGAACTAGACATCTTCGAAGGACAAGCTGAAACTTTTAGGTTCATTAAAAAATTTTTTTAAATATAAGACTTGAGGGGCACCTGGGTGGCTCAGTAGGTTAAGCCTCTGCCTTCGGCCAGGGTTATGATCTCAGGGTCCTGGGATGGAGCCCCACATCGGGCTCTCTGCTCAGCAAGAAGCCTGCTTCCCCCTCTCTCTCTGCCTGCCTCTCTGCCTACTTGTGATCTCTCTCTCTGTCAAATAAATAAATAAAATATTTTAAAAAATATATAAGACTTGGCATTTTATTTAAATCACTTAGAAAGAAGGAAGGGAGCACAAGTTAAAACCACCAGGAAGCCCTGACCTTGGCTTGAGGCCAGGGTTTAAATCTCAGCTCCACCCCTTCCTCCACGGGTGCCCTGAGAGAAATTCACTTCACTGCTTTGAGCTTCGGTTTCTCCACTGGGATTCACGAGTCTGCTCTGAGCACTGAACGGTCCCATTCAGTGACCCCTCGATCCCATTTCGCACAGTGCCACAAAAGCTCCCAGCACAGACAACTGGGTGACTCAGTTCGTTAAGTGACTGACTTCGACTCAGGTCATGATCCCGGGGTCCTGGGAATGAGTCCTGCATTGGGCTCCTGCTCAGCAGGGAGCCTGCTTCTCCCTCTTCCACGGTCCCTGCTCTTCTGCTCTGTCAAATAAATAAAATATTAAAAAGAAAAAAAAAAAAGAAAAAAAGAAAATCTCCCACAAGAGAATCACAGACTCGTCCTCAACAGCTCTGCAAACTTCTTAAACCTGACCTCAGGGTGGTACCCAGAATATCTCACATGCAGAAATGCCTAAGTTTAGCCTTCTCATCACTCACTCAAACAATATCTACTACACATGCCTCGGGGCCGGGCACCTCTCTGTGCCCTGGAGATAACAAAGAAGACAAAACACACAGAACAATTCAGATGATCAAACCACTGTAGGTCATTTCTTTTCAAGGTTCAGACAAATGACGCTCACGGACAGAACTGTCACAACGGAGGGTGTACTGCATTTCGAAGACTGCTCCACAGGTTGGAATGAGGATGCCGGGGCCAGCAAGAAAATGGGGAGGGGGTCCAAGAGAAGAGCCCCCTAAAATGAGGTCCCCAGCATGCAGACCAGCCCCCTACTGACCGCTGCCTCTGAATCTACCTGGCTCTGTTGTCTGGTCCAAGCCACACTTACTTGATGCTGTGCAGCTTTCTCGTGACTATGACCGGAAAGTCAACCTCAAAATATTTTCTTGGGAGAAGATCTTCATCCTGAGGAAAAATACAGAGTAAGTTTCCTAATTCTATATCCCCTCGTACATTTACTGACCATCTTCATGCACCAAGTACTAAGCCGCACACAGCAACAGAGTATTTCAGGGCCCAAATCAGGAACGATATGGTGAAAAATGCATGTTTCAGGTGACTTCGGTCTCCGTGTGGAGAACGGATGGAGGATGAAAGTTAGGAGGTGCTCACAGCCATCCAGGAAGAAGGCCCAGGGAGGAAGTCATGGGGAGCCGGAACTGGGGGAGCAGCCACTGGGATGGAGACAGGGAGGCACTGAGAGGCCCTGGGGAAGTAGGGCCTAACAGACTTTGCCAAAAAGCAGACTGAGACAGATTAGGGAGGGTCAGGAAGCCGATGTGGGGTGGGGCCAGCATGTGGGGGATCAAATAGGATACAACAGCAAATATCACAAAGCACCTGCCAAGGTGAGGGCAAGCACTGTCTTGTGCTACATTTACTTTTTCCTGTGAGAGGAGAGTGTGGTGGGGGGAAAGGGCAGGCACTCTGGAGCCAGGGAATGGGGTTCAGATCCCAGCTCAGTCACTTGTCCGCTACGAGGTGCTGGGAAGTCACTCAACTCCCTGGGCCAAGCTTTCCCCATCCACACAGTAGAGAAGGGACAACACCTTACAGGGATGTGAGGATTCCTGTAGAAAGAAATACTCCAGCGACACTCACAGCAGGACCTGCCAGAGTAAGCGGCATGGGTGGGCTTTTATGATGTACTGACACGTACACAGATGTGCGGCCTGGCCTGGGCTGTACGTTTATTTCTACTGTGGGCTGCAGTAAAGAAAGTGTGAAAGCCACACACACAAACGGAAACACACAAACACATACACTGAGTCAAAGAAACACATCTACACAGACCCACACACAGGGACATGCAGAGACACACAGACCCAAATCAGGGTCTGATCTGCTAGGATACCCCACAACACATAGAGACACACAGAGACAAAGACGCTAGGATACACATGCAAAGACACACACCCACACAGAGACACAGACACACACACTCAGGGCCCCTCTCCCCCATCTGTGTCCCAGCCTGGTCACGCCCTGGCCATCTTAGCACATTCTCTTCATGTCTGCCATGTCCAGTCACTCAGCCCTGATGACTATTCTTTTTTTTTTTTTTTTAAGATTTTATTTATTTATTTGACAGACAGAGATCACAACTAGGTAGAGAGGCAGGCAGAGAGAGAGGGGGAAACACGCTCCCCGCTGAGCAGAGAGACTGATGTGGGGCTCGATCCCAGGACCCTGGGATCATGACCTGAGCCGAAGGCAGAAGCTTTAAACCACTGAGACACCCAGGTGCCCCCCTGATGACTATTCTTGAACGCATTCTCTCCTCAACCCCCAGCTGCACAGACACCCCTTTCTGGCCTCTTCCAACCACACACTATGTGTCGCCTGCAGCAGCTCCTCACGACCCTACGGCCTAGCAAGAAACAAGGTGCTCCATACCTGCTGACTTGTTCGGCATCCCCCCCCGGCCCCATGTATTCTTTGAACACCCGTGTCCACCCGTACTTCTATTCCAGAAATACAGAACCAGTTTGTTCAAGGGGAAAAGACAAAAGAAAAGACAGGTGCTGGTATCCAGAATCTGGTCGTGGCGTCGCTATTACAGGCTGGGATGACACCCCCGTTTCTGACGTGAGCAACTGCACAGGCAAGAGCACTGTGTATGCAGACAGTCACCCGCGATGGGAAGCAGAGACTGGGGGGTTGCCCACCCCGAGGTCAGCATGATGGGGACAGAAATCACAAGCAAGCGTTTCCTAATAGGAGGGGACCTCGAAGGGTGAGTGTCAGAACTGTAGGTCCAGCTACCACCCACCCTTGTGGAAAATCTCAGGGGGTCTGGTTTGCGGGAGAGGCAGGGAGAGAGGGAGACAGGAGGACAGAGAAAAAGACCGCTTCCTGGGTTATCAGAAGACACAGCCTTAGCCATCCCAACCGTTCACACTCACAGCTGCCACGCATGCCTGGTTTTGTGCAGAACGCGGCGATGGACGAGCCGGCTGAAGCTACTGGGAGGAAATGTTTAGGGAAGATGAGGACGTAACTTCTGCTAGGATACCCCACAACACCCTTCCAGAATGTTACTCCCACAATAGGAAAGGTTAAGGAGAGTCTGAAATTCCAAGACAAGGATGCCTGGGTGGCTGAGTGGATTAAGCCTCTCTGCCTTCTGCTCAGGTCGTGGTCTCAGGGTCCTGGGATCGAGCCCCATGTCGGGCTCTCTGCTCAGCGGGGAGTCTGCTTCCCACTCTCTCTCGGCCTGCCTCTCTGCCTACTTGTGATCTCTTTCTATGTCAAATAAATAAATAAAATCTTTAAAAAATAAAATAAAATAAAATTCCAAGACAAATGAGAATGATTGAAAGCAAATGAGAGACAGCATACACTCCTATGCCTTGTGTTGGACTTCTTACTTTATTATAAGGAGCTTTCCCTTGGGGTGTCTGGGTGGCTCAGTGGAGCAAGTGGCCAACTCTTGATTTCAGTTCAGGTCATAATCTCAGGGTCATGGGATCGAGTCATGTATCAGGTCCCCAGGTATCAGATACTTGACCCTCAGAAGAATTCTGAGTAAGGGGTCACTGTGGAGGGAAAGCTATCCAGAGGCACACCTGGAGCCTCTAAGAAACAGACATCTTCTTTCTGGGCTTGGGGAAAGGAACAAAATGGCTGTGGCACATGACACTTCCAGTTTTGGTTCTGGGATTCCCTAAGTGCATCTGACTTCTATTTGTCAGGAGCTGGCATGTCACAGGAGGTGTGGAGGACACCCAGGATGGGGCCTCGGTCCCAGACAGCTCCAGGGACAGCCATGAGGAAGGACAGCCTTTGGATTCAAAGGGGATCCCACAGGGCCGACCACAGCACAGGCTGCCCAAGGTGACACCCATCCCCTGGGTCCTTGATCCTTGGGTTGTGTGGAAATAGAACTTGGGAGACACAGAGAAGCCAAGGTCCCTTAAAGGGGTTCACTACCCCATGACTCTATATCTGTGGTGGTACTGGCTTTCCCGGGCCCTACTGCTGCTCGCTGCTGAAGGTGGAAGCCTTCAACTGTCCCCACAGTCTTGGGCCCAAGATCATACAGAACAAGCTCCCACCGTGGTGGAAGCAGAAAACCTGTGACCCGCTGCTAAGCCTCTGCTAGTTCAGCCGGGGGACCATCCCGGGTGGAAGGTGCATGAGACCATGAGACTGGCGGACAAAATTTGCTCCACACTGTCTAGAAGCACAGATCTCTCAATTCAGGGATTAGCAAACTTGCTGCAAATGACCAGAAAGTATTTTAGCCTTTGCAGGCCAGACGGCCTCTCCTTGAACTACTCAACTCCACCGTCGTGCTGGTAAAGCAGCCATAGAGAAGACTTAAGTAAATGGGAGTGGCCATGTTGCAATTAAACTTTATTTACAAAGACAGGTGGGTAGGCAAAATTTGGCCCTTTCTGCCTAGGCTCCGAAGTGCAAACAAGCATTATTTTTTTTTAAAGAAACTTAAATTAAAAAAAAAAAAAACCCTTTAGAGCAATATGATTATCAAACAAAACACCTCCACAGTATCTTTCCTACCCTGTGCTATTTGCTTTCCTCACTCCTGACAGATAGCCATTTTCTTGGAAGGGGTACCTAAGTCTCAAGTACCTTGACAGGAAAGAAAAAGTCAGATTTATTCATTATTAACCCATTACTGACAGGGGGAGAAACCAAACCTTGGAACCAATTCGAAAGAGTGTGGGGCTGAGAGGAGGAGTTTCTCCAGTGGCTTCTGCCCCTGCATTCTGCTCCAGCTCCTTCCACCACACGATGCTCACTGAGGTACAGGCACCACTCACTGACGGTCACTGAGGTACAGGCACCACTCACTGACGGACCGCAAAGACCCCCCTGAGCAAGCACAAGGCTCTGGACAGAGAAGAGGGAAGCAACCTGGACTTGCGGGACCTTTAGTCTATTCGCTCCTGGTTCTGCCACTAACTGGACCCGTCTCGTTTCCTGTGAATGAGCGTAGTTATACCCATGCTTGCTCGTTAACAGAGCAGGTGAGGGATCAAATCAGGGAATAGCTACAAAAGGCCTTTGTGTCATATCACTATCACCTAGCCTTGCACATCTCTAAACTGTACTGTAGACACTGTCACGATAACAATAAAATCTTCGTGATCATTAATACGGCAGACACAGGGGCTCTGGGGCTCACAATCCCACTGGCAGGGTCTTTCACACGTGAGGAGGACATGTCTACAAGGGTTTTTATCAGAAGCCCAGTTTGTAGCAGGAAAGGATGAGAAGCCAGGCACCCATCCTTCACCAAGTCCCCGGTGACATCAAGAATGTGTCTAAAGGCGGCAGCAGGCGCAAGTAGCTGGGGACAGGGGCGCGAGACAGGCAGTCACTGCATTCCCTCTGAATATATTTTTAACATTTTGAACCAGGCAGGCACCTTCACAAATGAAACAATTTGGGAAAGAAGAGGGCAAATGTTCATTTACCTTTAGTCTCCAGAAGGTGGTATCCATCCCAGCCCCAAGATTTATAATTTGACAATGACATTCTGTCTTCCGCAGAAATGCCTTTATCAGCTGACTGACGCCATGGACTCGAGCAAAATATCCTGAGAGAGAGAGACACAGAGACAAGCCATCACTCAGTGAGGTCGGAAAGCATCCCTGCAGAGCCCACCCCAGGAGAAGAGCAAATGAGGATTCGGCTGCTCTTCTTTGGGGTCAGTGATTTTTCTGTGGACTCATGGGAGAAATCAGGACTTTCACATTCTCTCTCTTTTTTTTAAATTTAAAGTGGCAAGAACCAAAGTAAGTACAATCTATTTAATGGTGTAATTAACTATCTTAAAAATAAAATGTCCCTTAAATTTACGTCTGAGAGACAACCATATTACTTCAAAACATTGGATCTAAATATTCCTCTGGGAAGTGTGCTTTCTTGCAGCTAGGTGAAAGCCACTCAAGAGTATGCAGAATGTCAAAATTCCAAGATCGTGATGAAAATAGTATTTTGAGGAGAGGAAACAGGAAGGACAAATTACAGAGGAAAAAAAAAGTCTTATTTCTTACCGTGTTTCTGCAATCTCCATCCTGTGTGGGTAGAGCCTCTGTTTAGAAAATGGGCTCACAGGGGTACTTGGGTGGCTCAGTCAGTTAACAGTCTGTCCTCAGCTCAGGTCATGATCCCAGGGTACTGGCACAGAGTCCCCCTTGGGCTCCTTGCTCAGTGGGGAGTCTGCTTCTCCTGCTCCCTCTGCCTGCTGTTCCCCCTGCTTTGCAACTCTTTCTCTCTCTCTCTCTCAGGTAAATAAAATCTTTAAAACAAATAACAAAAATAAATAAAACGGCCTGACAGACCACTTGGGAGAGGGGAAAGCACAAGTAAATGTTGCTAAATAAACGGACTTGTTCAGCTACAGAGTGGTGAGCTGGAGCAAAGGTGGTGAGAAATAAAAGAGGGGGAAAGGAAGATAAACTCTGTGTTCTAAAACCCTGCTGTTGGGGCGCCTGGGTGGCTCAGTGGGTTAAGCCGCTGCCTTCGGCTCAGGTCATGATCTCAGGGTCCTGGGATCGGGTCCCGCATCGGGCTCTCTGCTCGGCGGGGAGCCTGCTTCCCTCTCTCTCTCTCTCTGCCTGCCTCTCTGTCTACTTGTGATTTCTCTCTGTCAAAGAAATAAATAAAATCTTTAAAAAAAAAAAAAAAACAAAAAACCCTGCTGCTTAAGTGTAACTATTTTAAGAACAAAATTTGAGTAGCATTTAGAAATGTTCCACAATGTTAAAAAATAATATTGGGGCACCTGGGTGGCTCAGTGGGTTAAAGCCTCTGCCTTCAGCTCAGGTCATGATCTCAGGGTCCTGGGATCGAGTCCCACATTGGGCTCTCTGCTTGGCGGGAAGCCTGCTTCCTCCCTCTCTCTCTGCCTGCCTCTCTGCCTACTTGTGATCTCTGTCTGTCAAATAAATAAATAAAATCTTAAAAAAAGAAAAGAAAAGAAAAGAAAAGAAATGTTCCACAATGTGATACAGGAATTCTAGGTCTATTGATTCTCCCAATAAATAATTTGAGCTTGTATTTTAGGTGTCTCTTGTATTTTATGTTTCTAGGAAATCATTTTTTTTTTCGAGAGTTTTTTTTAAAATTTATTATTATTATTTTTTTTATAAACATATAATGTATTTTTATCCCCAGGGGTACAGGTCTGTGAATCTCCAGGTTTACACACTTCACAGCACTCACCATAGCACATACCCTCCCCAATGTCCATAACCCCACCTCCCTCTCCCGACCCCCCTCCCCCCAGCAACCCTCAGTTTGTTTTGTGAGATTAAGAGTCACTTATGGTTTGTCTCCCTCCGGATCCCATCTTGTTTCATTTATTCTTCTCCTACCCTCCTAACCCCCCATGTTGCATCTCCACTCTAGGAAATCATTTTTAATGTATGTTACAGAATGTCATCCACAACAGACTGGATATTGAAACAAAAACTTTAAAGATGCTCACCACACCCTATCTGGGCCACAATATGGAGATGCCAGCCCAGGCAGAGGAAGAAGGAAGGCAGGCCGCTGACATGCTGCCTGGGGCACCCAGCTCCCGGGGCTCCAAGGGGGGATCCCTGCCTCTGGTTAGGAAAGCTGCCACAGGAGCCTGAGACGGAGGCTTCAGGCCTCTTAGGCAGGCCTGGCCTCATCTTCCTAAAGCCTGGGTTCACTCTCAGCTCAAAGTAAGGTGCATGTCCTTATTGTCAGGGACCACCACTTTAAACTTTCTTTGCATTTCCTACAGAATCTACCCACAGGCTCCATCTTTAGGGCCAGGATTCCCTGCATTCCCGAGCACTTGGGGTCATTTGGCTAATTTCTCAATCTGATTGGGAATGAGTCACCCTCCCCTCTCAAATCCTTTCACTGCCTTGATAGAAAGGGCTTGCAGAGCCTAATAGTGTTACTGTCACTTTAAGAAGGCCAAGAAAGTAATTCCTTACTTGAACAGAGAGTTCACAGTAAAAGATAATGTAAATGGCCTGAGACATATAAAAATGATTTTCAACTTCACTCCTAAAATAAGAGGAATATAAAATAAAACTACTTAAGATACCATTTTTCATGAATCAGATTTTCACGAATCAATGAAAAGGTTCCTAATACACGGTGTTGGTGAGGATGTTGGGAAATGAGCACTTTCATATGCCCCTGGAGAGAGTGAACCCTGGAACCCTCGATTTTGAAGAATGAATCCCTAAAACCTCAGGCCTCTGGGCTGATGAGGGGATGTTGGGAGGGAGGGGGTCACTTGCCTCTGTTAATTTCGGGGGCCTTCCTTTCCTTAGACAGTCTTACAAAGTGCTGAATGTATGGATCATGCCAGTAACCAAGGCTTACTGCAAACCTAGAAGGGAGGAAAGGAGGCAGGTGAGTCGAGGTCAGTAGGTTCTGGCCCAGTTCTCAGGAACCAGGTCAAGGACAATCAACTACCTCCAAAGACCAACACGGGAACATTTCGTGCTCCATTACAAACCTCAGCAGACTCAGCCATCTGTCTTGGTGCTCACACACACAGCCCCTCATCGCCCCACCCCTCCCCAGCGGCCATTTCTTCTCTCTCTTTGCTCATGTACCTAACTCGTTTCCCAGGACCCTACAGAGCACAGCACCTCACCTCATACCTCACCTAGAAGACCTGCCACCATTTATTCCCTCAGCAAACTCACTGGCAAGAGCCAGTCAGACAACTCTGCTCAACCACAAGTTCTGTGTCCATAGGAAAGGAGATCCAAGATTGTTTCCTAAAACTCACAAATGACTACTTAAGCCTTTCCCCCAGCTCTGTATTAGGTACCAGTCCTTCCACATCTCTCAGGCAGGTCATAGTGGGAAAACCAGGAACCAATAAACACAACAGCTACAACCTAGAAACTGGTGCAGCAGCCTGAACTCTGGTCTACACAACCTGGAAAATGCTATGGTAGCCTAAACGCTCCCCGGTCTATATTACAAGGAACCAAGGGTTTAGTGTTCTAAACCAGGAGCTAAAGCCCAGCTTACCAGTGGAGGTCTTCTGCCAACTGTAAGGAACCAGCCTTAGGAAAACAAGAAGTAATGGAAGGAGCCTGGATCCCTAAGGCCATGTGAAGCCATTTTGGCCCTTGCCCTCAATGGATATCTGGGAATTAATAAATGTCTTTATCACTGAAACTAAATGGAGGGGCTCCTGGGTGGCTCAGCCAGTTGAGTGGCCAACTCTTGGTTTTGGCTCAAGTCATGTCTTGGGGTCCTGGCATCGAGCCCAGCATCAGATTCCATCCTCAGTGGAGAATCTGCTTCAGGATTCTCTCTCAGTCTCTCCATCTGCCCAATACTCTATCAAATAAACAAATGGCCTTCTGTTACATACAGCCTCAAATATCCTAAGTGCTATCCTGAGCACATTATCTCGTTTCTATTCATTTGATGAGTAAGATGAAAGGGGTAGGGTGTGTGTGTGTGTATGTTTTCACCCACCTAGGTTCTGAGTTCCCAGAAGCAGATAGACATCATATGTTCTCATCATATACACTGACAAGGGTTACTCTTGCCCTGACTATGGTCTGTGCTAATCCTGTACATGTCCCCACCAGTCTCCCACAGATGACTATGTGCCCACTGCAGCAAATACCCACAGGAAGCATGTACCTTCGGCTACACAAGGCAGCAACTCAACACAGACACACACCAAGTACGCACGAAGGGACACAATTACCTACAAGCCCAGACTGTCAAGGCAAACTGACCCACAGAGTTTTACAAGGGTGAACATACTTCGTTGTCTGAAACAGTGCTTTTCAAACAATGGATTGTGACCCACCCATGTCATAAAATCAATGTAATAGTCTGCGAATCCCCGGCTTAGAAAATGCAGACGACAAGAGTTAAACAGAAAGTATCAGCATGCATTAAGAGTTAAAGATTGTTTTGTGAAGCTGTCGTTGCAATATGGGTTTGGGGTATAAGTGCCATGAAAAATCTCTTCTCCAACCAAACAAAACAAAAGAGACTCTTCAATACACAAAGCAAACTGGAGATTGCTAGAGGGAAAGTGGGGGGGAGCGAAACTGGTGATGGCAAATAAGAGGTACATATTTCCGCTTATATAAATAACTCACAAAGATGAAAAGTATGTTAGGAATATCGTCAGTAATATTGGAATAACACTGTACTGTGACAGACGGTGACTATTTGTAATCGTAGTGAGCGCTAAGTAACGTATAGATGGGTCAAATCACTATGCTGCACACCTGAAACTGACATAATGTTGTACAGATCAACCATACTTCAATAATTAAAAGAGAAAAAATGGTGTTCTCACTGTTGGTGGTTTGAAGAGCACTGTCCTCAAAGGCATCATCTAGTGCCCTCTAGTGATAAGAGCCATATCTGCAGTTGAGAAAGACCCATAGACCAGTGAGAATAGTCCTCAAACATGGATGTCAGGTTGGAAGGGGCCTTCCCAATGACCGGTCAACCCTGACATCCAGGGCAAGAACCCTTCAACAACACCAAGCCACCGCCTGAGCACGCCCTACAAAGAAAGCGCCCGCTCCACCACTGAGCAGCTCTACCTGCTGAAAAGCTGACCAAGCTGCCTTCCTCTAGGAGCCCCTCCCTGGACTTCCTACTGCCCTCTCCTGGATGACACGGAGCAGCTTCTGTATTCGCCCTCAGCTAACACTATTGATCCAGACAAGCAATACTTGTTGAGGTCTGCAAAGTACGAGGCATTGGGGATACAGCGGGGAACCCTGGAAAGAGACACAGACAAAGAGAAGTAAGAGCTTATGCCAGATGAAGGACAACAGCATGGGGGATGAAGGACCTGCATCAGACAAGGTCAAAGGGCAGGCCTCTCTGAAAAGGGGAAGGCTGCATAGAGTCCCATAGAATTGGAGAAAGCTGTGCAAAAGGCACTCTGGACGGGACGAGTATCAGATAGAAATGCTCTGGGCAGGAAGTGCCTTGGATGTTCCAGTAGCAGAAGGTAGGCAGGGAGGCTGAAGAACAGCAGAGAAACAGGAGAAGCCTCAGAGATATCTCGTGTGTGTGTGTTTTAATTTTTTAAAAATTTTTCTACACTACCCATATGCTACATTTCATTCTAAGACACCATCAGTTGTTAAGACTGAAAAAAGAAACACTACCAGCTTGTTAATATTTTTCTTATTGCTTGAATTTTAGTTTTCTGCTTATGAAAAAGCTGTTTTAGACTTATTTGAAAAGAATGAAAGGCTTCAGATGATTGGTAAGAGTTGGTTAAATCCTCCCTTTCAGTTGATTTAAGTCTTTTCCTTTCCAACATGATTGATAAGAGTTGGTTAAGCCTCCCCTTTCCACACAACATTGACCTTCACGCTGCCAAGGGCACTGGCAAGGCTGTCTTTCTCAACAGATGGCTATCATCGCAAAAAAATCTGAGATTTTTTTCCCATGCTCCGGAGCCACCAGATGCAGGCTGTGTTACTGAGTCTTTCTTGATCTCATCAGAAGGTATCAATGGATGGTTCTCGAATAGCAATCAGGATTTGTGCTCCTTCTTCAAATGGCCCATAAATGGTACGTGGACTGAACCAGCCAGGGGCTACAGGTGCAGTTGTCCAGCCAAACCACAAGGAAGACTGACCACATCCACATGCAAAGATAATGACAACTCTAACACGATGTGCCAGTGACTGCAGGACACAAGAAGAATGAATTAGGGGTGCCTAGGTGGCACAGACTGTTGGCCTACCAACTCCTGGTTGTGGCTCAGGTTGTGATCTCAGAGTCTTGACACTGAGTCCCACGTCTGGCTCCAGACTGGGCATGGAGCCTGCTCCATGACTTCTCCTTCCCTCCCCTCCCTACAACCTCTCACAGGTTCTCTCTTTTTCTCTTAAAAAGTTTAAATAAATAAATAAATCCGAAAGAACCAAAAATCTCAGATTTAGAAAGACCTTTCTCAGTCTTCATTGAATCAACTATTGCTTTTAAAATGTTCATGACGTTCCAAACCACCTGCTCCATTTAACATTCCTTTAAGACAACTCACTCTCTACGTAATATTTTCTTCTAACACACCCTGTAATAAATACCTTCTAAAACATAAAACATCTATCTGGGTGCCACCTAAAGTCATCTCACATACGTCCCGTGGGAAGCACTGATCCGCTCCAGCCACCTGTCCATTCAAGCAGTGCTGCCTGACGTTCCCCTATTGGTAGGACTATCCTGCCCTTCACCGGTATTTCTTCATCTGAGGGAAGGAGAAGGGGCCCTCCTCGCTCTCTCAGCCAGTGAGGGTCGAGGCAGGGGCTCCTTCATTTCACTTCTAATCAGCACTCATGAGTGCTGGCTACAACGCAGGCATTATTCCACATGCTGGACAAATAGGAACCCATACCATCCTCAGAAGCCCCCTATGTGGAAGGCACCGCTTTACAGACAGAGGTCAAAGTCGTTTCCTCAAGCTGTGCAACCTTGGATGAAACTTAATTCTATTGCCTTTCAAACCAATTTACCCACTTGGACTGTGATTCCTCCCCCAACACTTCAGTTGCTGAAATGATGTCTGTGTGTATGCATGTGTGTACATGTGTATTTATAAGCAATGTATGTACATAAACATGTACCTACGATATTTATACCTGCAACTACAAAAATCAATCCAATACTCTTAGCATCAGTTTTCGAGTTTGCAATTTTAACTGCATGCTGCATATTGGCCTGTAAGATATTGCTCTACCTCTCATTTTTAATTTTATCTTTGTTCTTTTGCATGGACAAGTCTCATTTTTTGGTTTCTATTTCCCATTGGTTTTATTCTTGGTTATAAATGGGAGGCAGGAAGCAAAGTCTTAAGGGAAGTAGACTTTGCACCTGCACAGACTCTGAGTCTGTTTCCCTTCTTATGAGCTCTGTTGCTTTCCTTAGCAGATGCGCAAGGCCTTAAGTGTTTAATCATATAAGGAAAACAAAACAAAACAAAACACATGAAAAACAGGCACACCTGGGTGGCTCAGGCATTTAAGTGTGACTCTTGATTCGGCTCAGGTCAAGATCTCAGGGTCGTGAGACAGAGCCCTGCATTCAGGCTCCACACTCAGCGCAGAGTCTGCTTCCTCCTCTCCCTCTGCACTCCCCTCCGCTCGCTCTCACTCTCTTAAATAAATAAATAAATAAATAAATAAATAAATAATTTTAAAAACCAAAAAACAACAGTGGGCCTCAATTAACTAAGACCCATAAGCTATCATCTCCTCTCAAAGGAAGCTACTGGTATTGTCTTCCAGCTTCACCTAACAGCCAACTACTTCACAAGGATTAATAGGATCTAAGATCGACTTTCTCTGTTGCAAGGAGTCCCTGAATAGTCTGGGC